GGTTTAGAGGAAACAAATGAAGCGGTCGACAACTGCAAGCACAAGAGCAACGCAGAGCCGGTTAGAGGAAACAAATGAAGCGGTCGACAAACTGCAAGCGCAAGAGGCAACGCAGAGCCGGTTTAGAGGAAACAAATGAAGCGGTCGACAACTGCAAGCACAAGAGGCAACGGAGAGCCGGTTTAGAGGAAACAATGAAGCGGTCGACAACTGCAAGCACAAGAGGCAACGGAGAGCCGGTTTAGAGGAAACAATGAAGCGGTCGACACTGCAAGCACAAGAGGCAACGGAGAGCCGGTTTAGAGGAAACAAATGAAGCGGTCGACAACTGCAAGCGCAAGAGGCAACGCAGAGCCGGTTTTAGAGGAAACAAATGAAGCGGTCGACAACGCAAGCACAAGAGGCAACGGAGAGCCGGTTTAGAGGAAACAAATGAAGCGGTCGACAACTGCAAGCACAAGAGGCAACGAGAGCCGGTTTAGAGGAAACAAATGAAGCGGTCGACAACTGCAAGCACAAGAGGCAACGCAGAGCCGGTTTAGAGGAAACAAATGAAGCGGTCGACAACTGCAAGCACAAGAGGCAACGGAGAGCCGGTTTAGAGGAAACAAATGAAGCGGTCGACAACTGCAAGCACAAGAGGCAACGGAGAGCCGGTTTAGAGGAAAACAATGAAGCGGTCGACAACTGCAAGCACAAGAGGCAACGCAGAGCCGGTTTAGAGGAAACAAATGAAGCGGTCGACAACTGCAAGCACAAGAGGCAACGGCAGAGCCGGTTTAGAGGAAACAAATGAAGCGGTCGACAACTGCAAGCACAAGAGGCAACAGAGCCGGTTTTAGAGGAAACAAATGAAAGCGGTCGACAACTGCAAGCACAAGAGGCAACGGAGAGCCGGTTTAGAGGAAACAATGAAGCGGTCGACAACTGCAAGCACAAGAGGCAACGGAGAGCCGGTTTAGAGAAACAAATGAAGCGGTCGACAACTGCAAGCACAAGAGGCAACGGAGAGCCGGTTTAGAGGAAACAAAATGAAGCGGTCGACAACTGCAAGCACAAGAGGCAACGGAGAGCCGGTTTAGAGGGAAACAATGAAGCGGTCGACAACTGCAAGCACAAGAGGCAACGCAGAGCCGGTTTAGAGGAAACAAATGAAGCGGTCGACAACTGCAAGCGCAAGAGGCAACGAGAGCCGGTTTAGAGGAAACAAATGAAGCGGTCGACAACTGCAAGCACAAGAGGCAACGCAGAGCCGGTTTAGAGGAAACAAATGAAGCGGTCGACAACTGCAAGCACAAGAGGCAACGGAGAGCCGGTTTAGAGGAAACAATGAAGCGGTCGACAACTGCAAGCACAAGAGGCAACGGAGAGCCGGTTTAGAGGAAACAAATGAAGCGGTCGAAACTGCAAGCACAAGAGGCAAAGACGGTTTAGAGGAACAAATGAAGCGGTCGACAACTGCAAGCACAAGAGGCAACGAGAGCCGGTTTAGAGGAAACAAATGAAGCGGTCGACAACTGCAAGCACAAGAGGCAACGGAGAGCCGGTTTAGAGGAAACAAATGAAGCGGTCGACAACTGCAAGCACAAAGGCAACGGAGAGCCGGTTTAGAGGAAACAAATGAAGCGGTCGACAACTGCAAGCACAAAGAGGCAACGGAGAGCCGGTTTAGAGGAAACAAATGAAGCGGTCGACAACTGCAAGCACAAGAGGCAACGGAGAGCCGGTTTAGAGGAAACAATGAAGCGGTCGACAACTGCAGCACAAGAGGCAACGGAGAGCCGGTTTAGAGGAACAAATGAAGCGGTCGACAACTGCAAGCACAAGAGGCAACGAGAGCCGGTTTAGAGGAAACAAATGAAGCGGTCGACAACTGCAAGCACAAGAGGCAACGGAGAGCCGGTTTAGAGGAAACAAATGAAGCGGTCGACAACTGCAAGCACAAGAGGCAACGGAGAGCCGGTTTAGAGGAAACAAATGAAGCGGTCGACAACTGCAAGCACAAGAGGCAACGAGAGCCGTTTAGAGGAAACAATGAAGCGGTCGACAACTGCAAGCACAAAGAGGCAACGCGAGAGCCGGTTTTAGAGGAAAACAAATGAAGCGGTCGACAACTGCAAGCACAAGAGGCAACGGAGAGCCGGTTTAGAGGAAACAAATGAAGCGGTCGACAACTGCAAGCACAAGAGGCAACGGAGAGCCGGTTTAGAGGAAAACAAATGAAGCGGTCGACAACTGCAAGCACAAGAGGCAACGCAGAGCCGGTTTAGAGGAAACAGATGAAGCGGTCGACAACTGCAAGCACAAGAGGCAACGGAGAGCCGGTTTAGAGGAAACAAATTGAAGCGGTCGACAACTGCAAGCACAAGAGGGCAACGGAGAGCCGGTTTAGAGGAAACAAATGAAGCGGTCGACAACTGCAAGCACAAGAGGCAACGGAGAGCCGGTTTAGAGGAAAACAAATGAAGCGGTCGACAACTGCAAGCACAAGAGGCAACGGAGAGCCGGTTTTAGAGGAAACAAATGAAGCGGTCGACAACTGCAAGCACAAGAGGCAACGCAGAGCCGGTTTAGAGGAAACAAATGAAGCGGTCGACAACTGCAAGCACAAGAGGCAACGGGAGAGCCGGTTTAGAGGAAACAAATGAAGCGGTCGACAACTGCAAGCACAAGAGGCAACGCAGAGCCGGTTTAGAGAAAAACAAATGAAGCGGTCGACAACTGCAAGCACAAGAGGCAACGCGAGCCGGTTTAGAGGAAACAAATGAAGCGGTCGACAAACTGCAAGCACAAAGAGGCAACGCAGAAGCCGGTTTAGAGGTAAACAAATGAAGCGGTCCGACA